GCCTTTCTAAAGAAGATCAAATCTAGAGAAATGGCAAATAAAATATTTGGAACACTTGGTGTCAATGTCTGAACTCATAATACACGTTTCCTTCCAAATGGGCAGTGTCCACGTAAAACATACCCACAAGCGGAGGCTGATCTGTTGAGGCAAATGGACCACTTTCCATCTTGGGTTCAGGCAACACCGAGGCTCCCTAATTTCTGGTAAGGATTTATCCTGCCTCTCCTTCCTCCTCCTGTTGAACTCCCAGGACTTATATTCCGTGTGAGGGAAGACAGAAGTAGCAAGAAGTAGAAATCTCAATCATTTAGGGGACATTGTGTACAGTATATTTCTGCTCTTCAACTGAGCTGTGGAGTGCATTATGTGGGGAACCTGTATATATTTATATATACGTATATAAAAACATACAGTAGTTGCAACAGAGGTAACAGCTTCACTCCTGAAGCCAGGAAGTCAAAATAGACAAGAAAAAAGCTCATATAAAAACATAATTCTGTCGTCTGAAATGTGGCTATTTGGGTTTTTCTTCCAGCTTCACTCCTGAAGCCAGGAAGTCAAAATAGACCCAAAAAAAGGCCCATTTAAAAAACATTATAATTCTGTTGTCTGAAATGTGGCTATTTGGTGTGTTTTTTTATTTGTCAGACAGCAATATGCAAAATCTGTTCCCTAGATTTCGTTTCCTAGGTGCTAACATTACAGGAACGTTTGCCAACACAGTGTTACGAAGCTGCTAGTCCTCATCAACACTGGGAGTCCTCTCACTCCCGTTCACACTTCAGACCACATTTACTGAACAAATTACGTTCCTTTTAGAAAATTAAACTGCCTTGAGCATCTGAAAGCAGGGGGTGAGGGGGCAGAAGGCAAGCACGCCATCCTCCATCCGTCAAGGACGGGAAAATTACGGACCTTTTAGAAAATTAAACTGTCTTGAGCATCTGAAAGCAGGGGGTGAGGGGGCAGAAGGCAAGCACCCCATCCTCCATCCGTCAAGGGGGGGGGTGAAAGGGATTTCCGATCAGGCGCTGGGCGCTTCCCGGCGAGGCTTATTTTCCCCACCACCACCCCACCCCAAAGCTCAGCGGGGAAGCACAGGGCAGTTTCACAGCAAAGCTGAAGAGGCTTAAATCACATTTACACCAACACATGCCTCGTGGCGTTTTGCACTAAGACTGATCAAAGCGGGGGAGGGGACTTACGAAGCTCCACGTCTCTGTCGCTGAGACGAGCCGGAGATCTGGGATCAACTGGCTGGGATCAACCCTCGGGGGGTGGAGGGTACCTCACGCCGTCAGCCGGGGTCCCCACCCAAAGTGGCTTTTTTTGGAGAAGCGATGAGGGCTGGCGCCTTGCCAAGACCGCTTCCGACTGAGGGGATTGCTGATCTGTGGCCGTCCCCCCAGCAGATCATCCTAGTCCGGATTTAGCGGAGTGGCCCGCCGGCCGCCCTTCTTTCTTTTCTTCCTTCCTAGCTTTAACCATTGATCTAATTTTTCCCCCTCAAGAAAAGGAGACCAGGAGCGCCCGCGGCGCCCTTCTCCACGTGCGCCGAGGCGGGCAGTGCCAAACGCGAGTTTGTAACGGGCGCCAGAAATGAAACTCAGCCTTCTCGACCCACATCATTGGTCCGGGTCACGTTACCGGCTCATTTCAAATTTGGAGTCAGCTTGCCAAAAAAAGAAGAAAGAGAGAGAGAGAAAAGGAAACAGGAAACCTCTCTCGACGCAGAGAGCCCGACTGACAAGCCCCGGGTCGTCTCCCGTCTGTGCAAACATCTGAGGCAAAATCCAAAGAAACAAAACAAAACAAAGAACCAAAACATATGGCAGCTTAAAGGGTAACGATTATATTTTAATGTGAGCTTTCGTGGACACGCCCACGTCGTCAGACACCGGGAGACCGAATGAATGACCTACCAATTTCACAAGTAGAAAATACTAAATATTTATCAGCTGTGAGAGTCTTGGGTGTTTGGGGATCTCACATGCCGTGATTGGTTTGGTTTAGGGCATTGTAAATATTTCTCCAGCAGACAGAAAACTGACACCAGGCCTGAGGGAGGAGGGAGAGAAATGAAAGAGAAGGACTGTGGGTGAGGGTGGCTCAAGACTGAGGATTCAGTTAAGAACTCAAGGGGAATATTTATTTATTTATTTATTTATTGCATTTATATGATGCCCATCTAGACATAGTCTACTCAGGAAATATATATATATATATAGGGAATATTGAATTTTTACCTTTGAGGCTTGTGATGAGCTCGGTAGTTGTGAAGAAAGGAAAGGCAGCAAAAATCAAGATCCTTTTGCTCTCCTCAAACCAGGAGGTTCCACATTCACATACACATGAAAATGAACGGGCCCTGAAGTAGGATTAGAATGTTGCTTTGCAATAACATCTCGTACCGTGTAGTTTGGGTGGGTGGGTGGTATTTAGTTTTTGAAGTTGAAGGGATATGAGTTTATGATTCGCTCCAATCCCCAAATTGTTGTTACTTGCCGTCAAATCTCATCCACCCCGAAGCAACCCCATGAATGAATGACCTCCAAAATGTTCTGTCCTCTACAGCCGTGTGTAGCATTTCCAAACTAAAGGCCCATGGCCTCATTTATGGAATAAACCAATTTCTCTGTCTTCTTGTTTTTCTACTGCTTTCAGTTTTTCCTAGCTTTATTCTTTTCCATCAGGTCCTGGTGTCTCATGTTAAACTCTGAAACCGCCAATATTTGATCCTATTCAGTTTCTCTGAAGAGCTGGAAGAACAGCTGGCTTCCTTAGTTCGGATTTAAAAAAGACTAGGGTTTCCTCACTACTCTTCCCTTCCCGCCATCAGATGTTGTCAGTGAATAACTCAAGCAGAAAATCATACTTGCCTCCATGGGAATGCAAATTTATTTCTGAGGAATAGTCAACATTCCTAGCAGGAAATTGAAAAATGACAGTTTCAGGAAAAGAAAAGGCCAGTTTTGTTTGCTTACTAAGGTTCCAGTTCTGCACACTGGCATGTACTTCTGAGATGATATTCATAAGCTTATGGTGTCCATTGGCTTGATGAGCTTCTATTTGGCTCTACTTTAAATTCTAACATTTATAGCACCTAGTCAGAACATTGTTAATGTAATCCAATTACTGTAAAATTCTTCCTTAATATGTAATTTGTGTCTTTTGCTGCTTGTGTTGTACAAGCAGAAGTTGGAAGAGTTTCTTCTTTAGACTACAAATCCCAGAAGCATGGCCACTCTTCCTACTTGTGTACAAGCACAGATTCCTGGACTCCTGTCTCATCTAGGATGTATGGTGAGTTTACTTACGAACTGCCAAAGCCCAGGAGCAGAGCATAGTCCAGAGAGGGCGAATATATGGCTCTGCAGATGGGACTACAACTTCCATGATTCCTTCCCATGGGCTTTGCTGTCTACGGCTGAGGGGCACTGCAATCTACCAACATTTGAAGGGCATCAATTACATTTAAGGAACTACCGTATTTTTTGCTCCATAACACGCAGTCCACCCCCAAAAAAATGTGTGTGGGGGGGAAGTCTGTGCATCTTATGGAGCAAAGGCAGCGATTTTGTCCCCGCTGGCCCTGTGGGGGGAAGCGTCGCAAGGGTCCGGGTGAGCCTTCCAGGACCCTTGCGACACTCCCTCCACCCCCCCACGGGGCCAGCGTGGGTGAAATCACCAGCTTCCAGGTGGGGGGAGCGTCGCAAGGGTCCTGGAAGTCTCACTCAGACCCTTGCGACGTTCCCTCCACCACCACCACCCACAGGGCCAGTGTGGGCGAAATCGCCAGCTGGGAGTCTTTTGAGGCTTGGGAAGCTTCAGAAGACTCCCAGAAGCTGGCGATTTCGTCCCCGCTGGCCCCGTGGGAGGGTGGGGAGAGCATCGCAAGGGTCCGAGTGAGCCTACCAGGACCCTTGCGATGCTCCCCCCACCTCCGCACGGGGCCAGAGCGGGTGAAATCACCAGCTTCTGGGAGTCTTTTGAGGCTTGGGAAGCTTCAAAAGACTCCCAGAAACTGGTGATTTCGCTGGCGCTGGATCTGTGCAGGGGTGGGGGGAGTGTGGCAAGGGTCCTGGAAGGCTCACTCAGACCCTTGCGACACTCCCCCCACCCCCCCACGGGGCCAGGGGGGTGAAATCACCAGTTTCTGGGAATCTTTTGAGGCTTGGAAAGCCTCAAAAGACTCCCAGAAATTGGCAATTTCACCGGCACTGGATCCATGCGGGTGTGAGAGGAGCGTCGCAAGGGTCCGAGTGAGCCTTCCAGGACCCTTGCAATGCC